CTGCCTATCTGCTCTCCCCTCCTGGCCTGATCCCCCTAACTGCCTATCTTCTCCCCCCACCACCACCCTGATCCCCCTACTGTCTCTCTGCTCTCCCCTCCTGGCCTGATCCCCCTAACTGCCTATCTTCTCTCCCCCCGCCAGCCTGATCCCCCTATCTGCCTATCTTCTCTCTCCTCCTGGCCTGATCCCCCTAACTGCCTATCTGCTCTCCCCTCCTAGCCTTATCCCCCTAACTGCCTATCTGCTTTCCCTTCCTCTCTGCACCCTTCAAACCCCTGGCGCAGGCATGCTGAGAGCTCTATGCTGCAGCCCCGCCCCCCGTCCTGATTGGTCGTTGCATGATGGCGTCCCGGACAATCTGCATGTTCCTCTGTTATTAGTATAGATGGGTCTGTTCAGTACTAGATATATTCAGCTTTTTCAGCCTTGTTAGGCTCAAATTATTTTAAAACACACCTGTTTGTCGTAAAAAATGTTGGAATATCTTAGTACTCATGAATCACCCCATATATGCTAATTTAATTTCATGTAAATACAGAATTTAAACAGTAAAGTTAACTGAAATAAGATTGATAATTCAAATCTTGGGCATTAAATAGAATGCTTTCTTTCCATGGAGCACTTGAAAACGATCCCCATTTGCCCTGTCTGGACAGAACTGGTCAATAATTGGAAAGGGTTTCTCAACCCTAATATTAGCATCTCAGAGCAATGGACACTTTTAACCCTACCCAAAACAGAACCAAATCAGGAAATTTGAGGTTTGGAAAATAGACAAGTTGACAGCATGAGAGGCAAAATCTGTAGCTTGCCAAGTATTGAAAGTTAAATGAATCTCAGGCATTGTTATTATAGGGCTAGAGTACAATCACACAATATAGAGAAAAGTTGCAATTGATATCCACTAGGCCACTGTGTCACAACTTGTCCTCTTCCCATTCTATTCCACATGTCTGATGATACTTACAAGAACCATACAATTGAGTGGCAAAACTATATTTTTTTAAAAGGTAAAAGAAGAAAGAAAATCAGAAAAATAAACCAATGGTACTAATATCTTATTTTCACTGGAATAACATTCAAAAAAGTATTTTTAAAGCATGAGAATTAAATCATACTTTTAAATATCTAAAACACTTTTTTATAAAAAAAAGCAAACATGATAATAGCTTCTTTGATATTAAATTGCATTTTTAAATATGAATTTGAACTTTCTAGGATTCTACTCAAATTACATAATTTGAGCAATTATGTAATACTAAGGGATATTCATAAATAAATACAACTCATTTTTATTACAATATATAGATGCACAAGCTATAACATGTTTTTATATAAAGAGCATCATTCTCAATAAGACATAATATAAAACTCTAAGCACCCTTGTTTTATCTAGTCTTACCTTCTTTTAATTAAGAGTATTCATGGGTAAAATTAAAAAGACATTGGAAGTAACTATAATACCACAATCCACAAATTCTACAAAATGTTCTAACAAACAACTCTCAGCTGTAAACAATAATGACTGGTCACTAGAGGTTACTGAATCTGTGATTTCTTTCAGCCTTCTCAAAATCATATCAGAATACATTTGAGTGCAAGTGATATCATTATAGGTGTAGCCTGAAATCCTTTTGGACAGATGAAAACTTAATGTTTTCCCCAAACTTTAAATCTTTGACTATTGTTAGCAATAGAATACTTACAACACACCTCAAAATAAAACAAACATTCTAATATCTACCTTCGATTGAAAGCATCCTCATGGGACTTGTTAGCTCCTTGAGTTTTCAACATTGGTTCCTATTTAAGTCCCCAGCATATGGCACAAGGAGGCTACATTGTCAACATTCAATAATTGTGGGTAGAACTCAACTCAGCATCCATTAGGTGACCCTACCATAGAGGAATGGTCTCCCCTTGCCAATTGCAAATGGAACTGCCAAACACAATTTGTTCCTACAGACTGGCTGTCAGCACTTTTAATCCATATTAAGGTAAACATGCTTACAAAGGAAAAAATAGCTTACTTTTGTAAAGTTTAAATGATTTATAAATTTTTTATAAATACATATTTTAGCCTTCCTCATTTTGTCTCCTCTTTATTGAGATCGCATCAATGCAGAGGAAGTGGGGCGGTTGTCTACATTTGCAAGTTTTATGTTTATAAATGTGTGTGTACGTATGTGTGTGTGTGTGTGTGTGTGTGTGTGTGAGAGAGAGAGAGAGAGAGACTAAGGTAATATTATCTAAAAAGATCTCTGGAAGAAGCCCAGTACAAGAAACACGTTGATTCTATATGGTGGATGATATAATTGGTAATCTCAAATCTTTGGATTCACAATTTAAATTCTGAGACATAGAGATTTGTTTCCAATGAGGCTGTCTGGACTTCTCACAATTCAGATTCCTAAATAAGTTTCTAAGATGAGGGAATGATTATAGAAGGGTCCTCATTCTCTAGTCTTTTTTCCCATTCAAGAATCAAAACTTTCAATTCTCATCTCTTAGTGTAATGCTTAAAATAATCAATACATAACATGATACAAACATCAGTTTTCCAAAATCTCAAAAAAAGTTTACAGAACTTTGTACAATTAATAAAACTGCATTTTTCTTTCTTTTAAAAACCTTTTACCTCAATGAAGTTATATAAAAGTACCCCAATAGAAGTAATAGCTATTAATCAGATTGAGCAGGCCTCTTTTATATCTATAGATAATTATGTCTGAGAATAATGTAACAATGTTTTCCCTCCTTTTTGATACAACTAATCTGGAATGCCTACTTAAATTATGTCAAAATGCGAGTAGCATTTCATAAAACTCTCAATTTTGTACAATGCAGCAATTTCAGGTTCTACAATGTCGTTGGCAAATTAAATTTGTATGTCAATGCCATGTTAATCTTCCAAAACACATTTTGAAAACAGGTTTATTTAATGTTTCTTATGTGCTTGGCACTATGGTAAGCAATTTTTAGGCATTATCTCATTCATTCTCATACCTATGAGGTAGATACCATTAAAATCCTCATTTCACAGGTGGGAAAAGGAGGCTTGGAGAGATTACACCATTTGCACAAGGTTGCAACTATTATTACATAGTAGAACTATGTTTTAGATATGGGTCATTTTAACTTCAAAAGCCAAGCTAAGTACCATTGTGCAATCTTCTGCATGAAAAATCTTCAATTTGGGTTCCTTGTTACATATTAGACAAGAAAGAACTTGTAGAATATCATCTTTAGAAAAAACTTTGGTGGTCTTCTAGTCTCCTATGAGTTTCCTCTCTATTCTCTCATGATTCTAAGGCTAGTGTAGACACTAAGTGTTATGAGTTGAAGATAGTGTCTTACTATCTGTAATTTGTCAGTACACAGGACTTTGCCTTTAATAGAATATAAGGTCAATTAATCTTTGATGCAGACTCATTTTTCTACCTTTCAGAGCAAAATTTCTCACAATATGGTCCAGATCTGGGCTTATTTAAGGTTTAGTCATTCAAGGAATGCATTTTATTTATCATCTACTCTACTTTTTTTTTCTCATTCAAGAACTTTTTGAATAAATAAAGTATGCACATAATATATTCCCTATAGCAAGTAAAAGATACCCAAAATTCAAGAGCATACTAGAAGTGTAGGGAGTTCAATTATAACCTATACCCTTTAATAATGTAATTGGTAAAAGAAAGCTATACAATAGTTCCTTAGTTTTAGAGGCATCCAGTTTTTCAGGCCATATAGAGTAAAAAATGAAAACATCAATTTATTTAGGACTATAGTGGAATATTTGCTTTGCAATAATCCTAGAATAGGCTAACCATAATTTAAATGTAAATTTAAGAAAAGCATTTACTACTGCTTTAAGCAGCATCACATCCAATGTTTTACTTCATATCGTAGAAATATATTTTCTTAGAATCAGTCACTTTTTAAAAGAAATTTCATATATATATATTTTTTTTTCTTTCTTTTTTCTAATGATTTCACCATTCCAGACCTGCTTACATTATGTTACCCTCTGTCAGGGTCTACAGAGAGCGAACCCTCATAACCTCTTGACAAATTTTCCTCTCTCTTAACTAGAAATGAAAGAATGAAAATTTGTGCTGAATGAGATCCAACCTGAGGATCTGTCTACAAAAGAGCAATAGATATTTCAAAACCTTCCTCCTCTTTTCCTCAGAAAATATAAAGAGGACAGTTCTCCATAGGGACTTCTCCTTTCATAGTAACAATACTTGAAAGTTGAGGATTCAGCCCCTTTCACCACCCGTTTAAAACGCCCAGGCCTTCCTTGGCCTATTGCAGCAAGTGGTCTGTAAATCTGAGCGAACTCGGATTTCTTACATTCCTCCCACCTGCCACATTTTCTTAACTGAAATCAAAAGTGTTGGAATTGCATGTATTCCCATGAGCCTGCAGAGATTCACAGAGTTCTAACAGACATTGCTTTACGTTTTTAAAATAGGTAGAAGCAGTCTGAAAATAGTGAGGTTTGGGGTAGATCTGTATTTTAAAAGACTTAAATATGGTAAAATCAATCTAAAAACTGTTCAAGGCAGCTGAGAGGCTGGGGATAACATGAGCAAAGGGAATAAAGAGCTCTGAAGAGCCAGTACCAGTTGCTAATACTTAGTCTCTTTAAATAATGAATTAGCTGCTCCTATCTACTGTGGCTGCAAAGAGAAAGCACTTTCTTTGTAAAGTAAAGCTTGAATATCCATGAATTATTCAATATAAAGTGTGCCGGTTAAAATGCCTTGATATTGGAAGTCAAGTGTAAGATTATCTCTTGTCTGTCAAAAAGCATCTCTACCGTGTTACTGAGCCCTGGGGGAGGGGTCCGAGTGGGGAGAAATGAAAAGAGGAAAACCATTCAGAAACATCATCAAGCAATTTTTAAATAAAGCATTCAAAATGAGCTGGGAGCAGCTTCCTCACTATGAGGACCCCTTTACAGACATGCACTCTTCAAGCAAGACTTACCTATTACTGTTTACAGTCGCTACCTCCCTCTGTCCTCAGGATCCTAAAATGGAGAAGTTGGCTAACTCCTTGCAACTGAAGACAATAAATACTAATTCACTAGCCATGGCTGACTTAAAGAAATACTTTTCCTCCTAATGTGTCTACTGAGAGTTGAGTGATGATCTTTTTAGAATTTTTAAATCAAAAGTGAATGAACACAGAGTATATTGGAAGATAGAACATGGCAATTTATGTACAGTATTTCATTATCTATTATTTTATGAAGTCATTTTAAATTCAGCTAGATTTTTTTTTTTCTTTCCTGGACGTTCTTTAAGATTTGCCTTTTGGGAGATAACTCAGAGAAATAATTTGGTACATAGAGAAATCAAAATCCTAAAATCACTGTGCTCCTTTTAAAAAATGACATACATGGAAATTGTATATGCTATGCCTTGTAAAAGCATGCATTGAGCGCCAGTTATTGTAGGCACTCTTCTGGGTCCTGGGAATAAAACATGAATAAAGATAGTCCTTGCCCTCAAGGTATTTCCACGGTCAAAGGGGGAAAAGATGCATACACATTAAATCCATAAAGTGTCATAGATGATATGATAGCATATCTCAAAGGAAAGGGCAATTTGTGTGGGGGATGGGGAAAATCAGAGAAAATTCATAGAAAATATAATGCTAGAGGTTAGATTTGTGAGAAGATAAAGGATGTTCATTAAGGTAGATTGAGGGAGGCGACTTTATTAGTGGCATGAGGATGAGGAAAACAGGGTGCTATGAAAACCACCTGGATATTAGGAGAAATGCAGCCACCTGAGTGTGGGTAAAGCATCATCTATTCTAGACTAGATGCTGGCAGGGAAAAACAAGCTATAGGCAAAAGGCTGATTGAGGATACCATGTTAAAGAGTTGGAACTTTATTCTCTAAGCAGTAAAATATAACTCAAGGGGTCATGAAGACTTATATCCAAAAGTTCTTGTTAGGGAAGTTCCCTCCGAAGTTGAAGAGAGTAGACTGAAAAGGTACAAAACTGGGAAGGGGGTGGTGAGCTTTATATCCCAGGAACCAATGCCACTGCAGTGGAGATGAAAGGAATAAAAAGGATTGGAGACTAAATGACTGTGAGAAATGAGAGTGGCAGAGGGATCTAATTAAACTTCCAGGTATCTGATTAGATTAATGGGTAGAAGGCAATACTATTCATTAGATAAAGACTAGGGCAGGGGTGGGCAAACTTTTTGACTCCAGGGCCACAATGGGTTCTTAAACTGGACCGGAGGGCCGGAACAAAAGCATGGATGGAGTGTTTGTGTGAACTAATATAAATTCAAAGTAAACATCATTACATAAAAGGGTACGGTCTTTTTTTTTTTTCTAGTTTTATTCATTTCAAACGGGCCGTATCCGGCCCGCGGGCCATAGTTTGCCCACGGCTGGACTAGGGTAAGTGTAAGAGATAAGATAGTAAGTTCAGTTTGGGATATGTTAAGCAGAGATTCTAGTACTCATTTCAACATTGTAAACTGGAGCTCAAGTCGGACTTGGTTAAAGATGAAAGTTTGAGAGTCGTCAACTTGCACCAAGTGAGTAGACATAGGGATGGATGAATGAAACAGAAAAAGTGCACAGGACTCTCAGGAAACCAGTGCTTAAAGGGTAGGAGAGGAAAAGAATAACACAAAGAAAATGAAAAATTTAGAGAAGTACAAGAAAATTATAAATGTGGGTTTAAACCTAAGGGTTGAGCTATCTTTAAGAAGATAAAAGTTGTAGGTTCGATTCCCAGTCAGAGCTGGGTTTTGGGTTCAATCCCTGGTCCAGGTACGTAGGGGAGGCAACCAATCAATGTTTCTCACATCAATGTCTCTCTCTCTCACTCTTTCCCTTCCTCTCTCTCTAAAATGAATTTTTAAAAATACATAGAAGTGGGCAACACATTCAAAGGTCAACATATACTTGATTTTAGAAGTCAAATATGATGAGAATTAAAAGTTATGGGCACATAATGCAATATACAGATCATGTATCATAGAAATATATACTTGAAACCCATATAATCTTATTAACCAATGTCACCCCAATAAATTTAATTTTAAAAATATTAAAAAGTATGTAAAGAATTTTTCAATTACCCTGTGTCTCAGGATTAGAGCATCGGCCTGAACACTCAAGTACTGCAGGTTCAATTATAGTCAAGGGCACCTACCAGGGTTACAGGTTTGATCCCCGGCCCCTGTCAGGGCAGGTGCAGGAGGCAACCAGTCGATGCTGATGTCTGTCTCTCTGCCCCCACCCACCCCCCCACCACCACCACCACAACTTCCATTCTCTCCAAAACTCAGTAGAAAAAAATTTTTCAGATGAGGATAAAAAAGTTTTTTAAAGAGTTTGTCAATTAGAGCATCATTGGTGACTTTTGTCATGGCAGCTAGTTTATAGTGGTGGAAATAGAAACCAAATTATTCAGGATTATATAGGATGGTAACGAAATCCAAAACCACCCTAACCGATTTGGCTCAATGGATAGAGCATCGGCCTGCGGACTGAAGGGTCCCAGGTTCAATTCCAGTCAAGGGCATGTACCTTGGTTGCGGGCACATCCCCAGTGGGGGATGTGCAGGAGGCAGCTGATCGATGTTTCTCTCTCATTGATGTTTCTAACTCTCTATCCCTCTTCCTTCCTCTCTGTAAAAAATCAATAAAATATATTTTTTAAAAGAAATCCAAAACCATGAGTATTGATCATTTTTTAGAGAATAGGAACAGTAGATATTATAGAGGGTAGAATTTTCCCCCCTAAAAAGATGTGTTCAAGTCCCAGTAGCTGGTACCTGTGCATAAAACCTTATTTGGAAACAGAGTGTTTGCAGATGTAATTAGTTAAAATGGCAAGCCTTGGCATGCCTAGGCCTGTAGCTCCATCATTCCAATCACTGTCTCTTTCTTTAAATGGCTATCTTCCCTCTGTATGCCATCTAAGGACATTGATAATATTGGATTAAGGGCCCACCCTACTCTAATATTACCTAATCTTAATTAATTGAACCTACAATGACCTTATTTCCAAATAAGATCACATTGTGAGGTACCGGGAGTTATGTCTCTAGCATATCTATTCAATCTATTAAAGTATCTTGGAGAAAAGTAATCTAGCAAATATACGTATGCAAAATTGAGGCCCAGAGGGGGGTTTCATTTTTCCACTTACCCAAGTCACACTGTTAACTCTAGTTGCTCCAGGATTTTTTTTTTTACTACCATAATTTGTGCTGTACCTTTAAATCTATGTGTAAGCATTGGGGCAGTGCTCATTGTTATGGTTTTGTTATATTTATGAAATGTCCACAAAGTCCTAAAAGCTGGCTTTACTTTACTTTATGTACAGAGTACTAGGTAGATGCAGGTTTTAAGCAAATGACTGGAAAATTCAAAAATATTACATGTTAAGTGATTTAAGTTGTCAGGAAGGATCAGAGATTAGTCACTGTATTTCATGTTTAGTTTCCTTTTTTTGCCAAATAATATTGGAAAACAGAAGTTAGCTATTATGCTTACTTGAATACTTCTCTTCTTGATTGAAATTGACATTTTTATGTGAGCCACAAAGCATGTAATACAGTTGTATTCTTCTTTCTCTGAAAAAAATTACATCAAATAAAACTCAGATCATGCACAGGTTTTCTTTTTTTCCCATTCTGGTGCTAGCAATGAATGATCTGTACTGATTTCTTATAGAAGATAGTTCTATGAGTTGTTTATAATTTTATAAAATTCTTCACATGTTTGGATATTAACCTTTGTCAGAGCTGTTGTTTGAAATTATCTTCTCCCATTTGATTGGCTTCCTTTTTGTTTTGTTGCAGGTTTCTTTTGCTATGCAGAAGCATTTTAGTTTGATATAGTCCAGTGATGGCGAACCTATGACACGCGTGTCAGAGGTGACACGCGAACTCATTTTTTTGGTTGATTTTTCTTTGTTAAATGGCATTTAAATATATAAAATAAATATCAAAAATATGTCTTTGTTTTACTATGGTTGCAAATATCAAAAAATTTCTATATGTGACATGACACCAGAGTTAAGTTAGGGTTTTTCAAAATGCTGACACGCCGAGCTCAAAAGGTTCACCATCACTGACAGTCCCATCCATTTATTTTTGCCTTTACTTTCCTTGCCTTTGGTGTCAAATAAATAAAATATTCTCTAAGACCAATGTCCATAAGTTTAGTACCTATGTTTTTTTCTATGTGATTTATTGTTTCAGGTCTTATATTTAGGTGTTTGGTCCATTTGAATTAATTTTTGTACATGGGGAAAAACTGTAGTCTACTTTCATTCTTATAACTCAACACCAAACAACCCAATTAAGAAATGGGCAGATGACCTGAAAAGATGCAACTACATTTAAACTAACAGCAAAAGTGAGATTCTCAGTCTCCAAGTATTGGACCCCACTTCCCGCCCTGGAAACTTGACCTTTTAATTGTAGCTCCACTCTTCTCCCTCCACACAGCCACAACTTGGATCAGGGCATCACTGCCTCTAACTAACCTACCTACACTACCACTGCTTTCCACAGACCTACATAGTTTGTGGCCACAGACGAGGCTTCTAATTCTTAGAGGGCATCTCACAAAAAAACTAACACTCTATGTGCTATAGATCCAGGTGGGCAACAGATATACTGAGGTTTAGTTCCATATGCCATCATTACTGAAATAAATGAACTAAACTATTCCCAAAAATATTTGGGGCTGCTGAGTAGTACCAATGTTCACTGCCCAAAACAGAATTTTGACCTGCTCTCTGGAGTTAGACAGAGTTCCACCCCCAAAACAGATTTCTATGCAAATTAAACTAAATTGGGAAAAGGCAGTCAAAGTACCTTACACTCTTTAGACTTTGTCTAATTTCTTGAGTTATTTGGCAGCCAGAGGACCTTCCTAAAATGCAAATCTAGTTGTGTCATGATCCCCATCCCCACGCTACTTAAAATTCTCCATGGGTTTCCATTGCTTTCAGAAGAAAGTCTGAATACCTTCACATGGCACAAGATGGGATTTTATGATAATGTTTGCAGACTCTGTAACTTCCTTTTCCTCATCCAAACCCTACACTTCAACTAAAACCCATTAGTAGCTAGTTCTAAAATGCCCCATGTCCTGCCATACTTCTATTTTAAAGCTTTACTACTATTTTTTTAAAAAATCAAATTTCTATTTCACTTGGAAATGAACAGTTCCTGAGGAGAAGTTTGATAAAAGGTAGACAAAAGGAGAATCTTTAACTGGTTTCACAATTTTCTTAGGCCAGCAATTCTTCAAAGTAATTACCTATATATTTAAATTAAAGATGAAGGGGTCAGGTGAGAGTGCGGAAGTACAAGGGAAAGTTGACTGGCCTCACCAATGTAGAAGCTATTTATACAACTATACCAGCTATACAATTATATTTTTAAAATGCACTGAATTCAATTTTTATTCTCAATGTACTTTTTCTCAATAACTCTTTCAGAAATCGTCAAGGTTAAAGACTCAGATTTTTGCTGTGAATAAACTATAGAAAGTCATAGTGTGTCAACTTGACCGAGCAGCTTTCTGAGCTGACAAGTCTCAGGCATCGATGGAAACATTATCCACCTCTTCCCCAGAGCAGAGCAATATTTGACCAAGATTTGACAGTGCTCTAGAAAGTATCCAAAAGAATGTTGCAGTTATTTTTAATATATTTTACTTTTTGTAAGTGTACAATATGCTTTTAATATTTCATTTTTTTCATTCATTAATAGAAAAAAAGCTCTCAAATGTTTTGACAAATATTGAATTATGAAACTCATGAATGTTCAAATAATATGATACATGTTTTACTACCTTTAATATTGGGGTGGGGGGGAAGAGAGGGGAGGATTCCAGATGGGAAAAATAGAGCCATAAATGAGGAAAGAAAAAGAAGGGGGTGAAGGGAGAGAAGGGAAGAGGGAAGAAATGAAAAAAAGGAATCTTTGCCAAAGGAGCTATCCTGCTATAAAGCTTGAGTATTTCACATAGCTTTAAAATTAAGCCAATGTTTGAGGATAACAGGCTTTTCTTTTAGGTTAGAAATTATCAAGGAAGAAGTTGGGTTACCACAGAAAGAAACTGCCCAAAAGAAACCAAAAAGGATTGAAAAATGTGTAAGATGCCCCAAAGGTTAGTTGTATATGTGTGTATAACTGGCATTTTTCCCAGTTCAACCTATGGGGCTGCTGTATTTCTTACCAGTAATAGGAAATAGGTCTAACTTACCATGATGAAAAGGAATGCCCTTTAACTAAATATTAAGACATACTAGGTTTCAACATCTCCCTCATTACTGACACTCAGTAAATATTTATTTTTGCTATTAGACCTTGGCATTATGCTTGTTCAGGAACATAGCAAATTTTAAAGGCATCCTACAGGTAAAAATTATACAGCCAATATATACCTTCCTCTGGGATTCAATTTCAAAAGGAAACTCTGAGTTTGAAACCTGGTAATTCATTTTGGGCATTATATTGTCTTTGCATCTTCCATGATGCTTCCAAAATTAAGTGCAGCTCTTTTCCTGCTTAGAAATACCCATCTTTGAAAGAGGCCTTCATGCCATTTGACACAAATCCCCTACATTAAATATAATGCAAAATTCACTAGAAATTCAAAAGGATATAGGTATGAAATACCAAGTCTGACGTCCACAACTGTGACTTCTTTCATTTTTTTAACAACAGAATATATGTATAATTTGCTTAATATTTGCAAAATGCATCTTGGTTATTGTTTATTGTTTTTATCTTACTTCTAATAATATCACTAGATATAATTCTAAAATTAATGCACAGATTAAAGGCTTCATTTCAAAGGCATACCAATGAATATAATCTATCTTAGAGAAATTTCATTTTTAATACTATTTTTATCCATTGAAAATAAGTCTACGCAGAAGCTTTCTGTAGGTTTTATAACAGATATTTAAAAAATATTTCCCCTAGACCATTACTTTTAACCAATGTATACTCTTCAGGGATTTGTGGAAACAGACATTAGCAGTAAAAAAAAAAATGTTTATGCAATATATCATATAGATCATCATAGCAATCTATCTGTAGCTACCTTTGTCTTTGATTTCTACTTCTCCATTACACAAACTAAACTGATTTTTATCTGTAAAGGTTAGGCAAAATCTTTTGCTTTGGGAATTAAGAGTCTCTAAAAGCTAGTATTACAGAAATCAGCTAAGTACAATGTTTCTTTGTGGCTGGTCTTTATTTTGGCTAACCTCCAAATCAGAACTGATTTAGAGAAAAAGTATGGGGAAGACCCCTTGATGACAGAAAATATAATGTCTTAGCAAAGATATATAAAGTAAATCTACTTCATTTACTGAAGAAAGCAGGCAAAATAGACACTTATGAGCTTGAATTTCTTTATTGTACCAGCTTTTCTAAATTGTATGTACATATGTGTTTGTTTGCTATAAGCATTTTATATGTGCACATATGCATTTTATGAATACATATGAATTACACACATATATAGTTATGGTGTTATTAAATATAAGTAAATATACTTTTTGGATATGTATATGCCATCATAAGACACATATTAGAACTCATCAAATTTTTTATAGTGTATTAACCATTAACTCATTTATGAAACTAACAATGTGTTACAATTATCAGACTGTGTGTTCTAGAACTCTGCAATATCTTCTAATGTTCAGCAGAGAATATATGGGGTTAAATTTTATATTAAATTTTTAAAATTACTATCTTCCTATTAATAAAAAATAATTATAAATGCAAATAAATAAAGAAATCATGAAGATACAATCTTGGACAAATTCCAATTTATAAGGAGAAGAAAAGGAGAATTTATAAGGAGAAGAAAAAGAGAATCTTGTCATTGATGTTAATCCCTCAAATTCTATTCCCTGAGCTTACCCAAGTGCCAGCAAGTAATCACATTACACCACCAGAAGTGTTTCCTCCCAGAGCATTTATATATATATTGGTGTATTTCAATTTTCACAGCAATTGTACAACATATAAAGAACAATTATTATTCTGTTTTAGAGATGGATAAAATATAATTATGTCCAGTTAATTAAAATTGCTAAAGTTATAGAATCAAGATTAAAACCCATGGGTCCAACTACAAGATTGTGCTATTTCTATGGACATACCAATGATAACTGTTTCCAACAATATGTGGATTCCTCAACAAAATACTTATCTTTTTAAATACAACACAAATAACAAGTACACTTGGGAATCAGGTGTTAAATTGTGTGAAGAAAAGAAGAAGTAAATAAAAGGACAGAATGAGACTCTTACATCTTGACTTCAGCACTCTAGGTACAAGTGCAGAAGGGAGGAAGTTTGTTATATTTTGGGGGAAATGCTAAAAGCAAAAACACTTTGTCATAAGTTCTCCTTTGGGAATCTATGAAGAAGTAGTTTTGCAGCAATTCCACCACCAACGTCAACTTAGGAATTAGCAAAGCAAAACAATGGCAATGGGCAGAGAAAGACCTGAGTGGAGCTGTCCTTTCCTGTGTAGTCTAGAAGGGACTTGGAAGTGCCCTTGTTTCCTGAGATGGAAGCAGAAAGTAGCT